CCTCGAAGGATGTGTGTGTGGGGGGGGGGGGCAATCGATTGCATGGCAAATGAAGGAATCCACGCCGCGGTGGACTTCGAGGGGGCGAATGGGGGGGGGCCATGAGGGCGCGAGGGGAATTGGAAGGATGAGGAGTAGGAGGGGGCGGGGGGAGAGGAAGAGGAGGAAGAGGAGAAGGGGGGGGGGGAAAAAGTAGAGGATGGGTGAACTCGAATTCGGAGATAGAGGGTCTCCTACGAGAGTGGTGATCGTTCGGCCTTCCGGAAACACTGATACAGCCGATGCTCATTCGCGAACTTCGCTCGGGCGTGACGGCGCGGGCTCTTGTCTGGGCGTAGGAGGCCATCGGGATCCGAAAGGACGTGCGGCTTGGGGATGTCCTCGCACGGTGAAGGGGGGGTCGACTATCTTCCCCCCCTCCTCCCCTCCCCCTCCTCCCCCTCTCCTCCTCCGCCTCCTCGTCCTCTTTTTTCCTCCCCCCCCCCCTCCCCCTCCTCGCTTTTTATCCCCCCCCCCCCCCCCGTCGGGGTCCAATGTCGGGGCGCCCGCTGCGTCGAGAGCGCGTTCCCAGTTTTTCCAATCCCCTGGGCGACGACAAAACGGTTTCATGACAGAAGGCGAACCTTGCGACGAGGCGGACGACGAGAGCAGAGGTTTTCGCCATCGTTTCCCAACGTGCGTCGTGCAACTACCGCTTGAAACATCGCAGGAGGAGGTAGAGGGTTCTGTGAGGAAGAAGGGCGAGGTTTGTGAAGGAGAAGCGAACGATTGTCCGCGTGGGCCAAGATCGCGAGACAACCTGAAGATGTGGTACCATCGCTAAATGGGGCTTGCTCGGATGCACTCATATATGGGTGCATCCGAGCGCCAGCCATGATATTGCATGTATACATGCAATCTATCATGGCTGGCGCTAAGATCTTACACCCAATGCGTTGGCAGTAAGTCTTAGCGTTCCGAGACCTCGGGGTAGCGGGCCTGTTTGCGACGAGGCCAGCCGATCGGGCATCGCTACTGTGAAGCCGTCGGCAGCGCGCGCTTCTCCCCCCGCGTCGCTACTCCTGCGGAGGTGCTCTCTTGGGCGCGCGCCCCCGCGGCGACAGAGCGGCCCGGGGCGGGCGTGGTCGAGGCCGTGGGCGGGCAGTGACATCGGCCGCGGCCTTGCCCCCCGATTC